AATTATGCACAATCTAAAGCAACTGTAGCAAAAAATACTATGCCAAGTGCTCCAAATTTCGAGCCAGCTTGTATTTCACTTACCAGGCAACGTAGTGCAAGTGCACCTGAGATTAGAAATCTTTGGAACGATCGATCAAATATGCCCGCCCCTTTGTTCTTCGAACTGCAGGGTGAAAAAAAGGTTGACTGTACATACATCCTGAAATCTATGATTGAGGGAGCAGGCGATCTTGCTGAAGCATATTTCGATTCTGTGCGGACAAATGCAGGAAGAAAATAGACTTAGCCGACCCTCTCGTTCAAGAACTTCGAGGTGGATATCTTCGAATCTTTTTTTCTCACCCTGCAGATCGATAGATCAAGGGGGCCTTATACTTTATTTTTTTGCGAAATGATAGCTATATAATCTGCATGCATGATCGCCTAGTAAAATTGGTCGAAGGCGCTATGTATCACCTGCTGAATTTTCCAGATTAGTCCTTGACCCAGATCCCGAATATTGTCTTAATAAAATAATATATTGTCCACGCCTCATGGCCAATGCATGTAGGCATGTGCAACATAAATTTTTGATCCATCTAGTGAAATGTACCACCTGCAGGTTTATGCAGAATAAAGATTATGATCTGCCTATTCTAGATTAGCTCCTGAATAACGTAATGCTAATCATACTAAAATAGCAATATGATATCTGCATTGTTACAAAAGATAAGTATACGCGTCTCTTGCTAAAAAACAAACTCTAGCGCGTCTCGCAATTTTCTATATTTTTCGTAATCATGTCTACTGAAAAAAAACCTACGTCGTGGAGTGCATACTTTGATGTGACATCGCCAGAAAATTATAGCTTCCTAGGTTATTATGAATACCGGTCAAAACAAGAAGACTTTCTTTATTCTTTCAGAAAGGAGTGTCATAGATTGAAAACAGATCTCGCTAACCTAATGGAGAATAGCTCGGGTGAAATGAAGGAGATTGCCAGTCGGCTGGAAGAAGGTCGTAAGGTAAAAGTTTTCTATCGTTGTTTTTTTGCATTGTTAGTTGGAATTAGGGAGGCTGAACAAGATTTTAAGGGCTACTCTTCGCGCTGGCCCTTTTCTATCTTGTCAATAGTACTGCATGTTGGGTTGTAATAATGCTTCTTGCAGGAAGGAATCCGCACAACTAAGGGTGACACTTTCGCGCTGTCCACCTTATCGTCTTCGTGCCTGTTGTGTTTTCCTCTAACAATGCTTTCCCATTTATTATGAAACGGATCACTAAGCTTATAGGGACATCGTAAATATTATAAAGACGTTGACATGTTCTGGAATCAAATTGAGAGAACCCAAGCTGAGGTTTTTATTTAATAAATCTTCTGTTATAAACAAACTCCTGCTCATGAATTTTTTCAATTAGGCTGAGGCCTGTAGCTCAGTTATACGAGATACTACTGAAGCATTCAAAAATTCCATTGCAAGTGTCAATTCCTCCATTATGAATGTCAATAACACAATGGTATGGGGTGGAAGTTATTATTTTTTTTTTTTTGTTTCATATGTTTAGATTATATAAATTGACACATTTTGTCAGATCAAATACAATGAAGAACTTAAGGGTGGTGCCTTAGGAAAAAGACGAAATTCCGAAGATTATGAGGAAAATCGAATTTCAAAAAAGCGTCAGAATAGATATATCACACCACCGTCACGACCCAACTCGAAACCAGATAGTGACACTGAAGATCATGAAGAGGTTTCAGATCATGAAGTGCAAGTATCTGAAAAAGAGATTTCGGCAGGGAGGGTTGGTACTTTGATATTTTTCCTATTGTTATATCTTTTTTTTGTGCTTACCTAATATCATCATTCAGACTTTGACTGATCCTGTTGTAAGTTGGACTTTATCAACCGGAAAAAACGTTGGTGAGATATTATCTGCATATCGGGAGAAAATTCCTCGTACCAAGGCATATCTATAGTGAGTTACACTTTGCAAACATATTTTTAGTGCCAACGTCCAGATATATTATTGACCGAATGTTGTTTATAGCCCGGCCTATTTCGGTATTTTAGATCTTTCTGGAGAAGATGTTGAAGTAAAGGATTTGTTCACGGACGATGAATGGAATGAAATGATCGAGGATTTCGCGAATAACGTTAATTTAAGCGATTTGGACGTCAAACAGGAGGAGCCTATCTATGAAATAATGGACAAGATAACAGAGGTTAGAACCAAAATTTATATTATTTATCTTTCATTTTAACGTGTTAGCTAAGTACAATGCTTCTTATATTAGAAATTGAAGAAGGAGCCATCCGATGTAATAACTGAAATTGAAGGTTGTGTAATTGAAGTACGTATTTCACTTGTATTGGTTTCTTATAAAGTACAGGCTCTCATGACCATCATTTGTAGGATAATACGAAAGTAAATGCAATTCGGCGCCTGATTCAGACATAGTGAGTTCTTTTTTTTTTTTTTATCCACTTGTAATATCTGTAAGATCTAATTATTTTAAATCTAATAGCGCCTACAATCTACAACGCTTACGTTTGCCAATGTCCGAAACTGCATTTGGTAGCAGTTTCACAAGTATGATGACCAAAGGGGTACTTACCTTTGACAATATTTACCACTACGAAGAGTAAGTCTACATCGGCAATTTGCTGTTTGTTATGTGTTTGTGCAATTTATTTATCTATTAATAATTCGCAATGCGCAGAGGAGAGATTCAATCTCTCGCCTCATCAGTAATTTCCAACATGAAAACTAAACCTACCGATAGAAGCTTGATCGGACAGAAGGTAGATTTCCGAATAAGTCAAGACCAGTTTGAAATGTTGATAGGGCTAAGATCTGGTGGTCTTCCATCGGCGACAAAAAGCAAAAAATGGATTGATAAAGTGGATCTATCAGTCGCGCTACGGGATGTGTTGATAAATGAAGGGATAGAAAACAATGGCGTAAAACCGGACAAGTTCCACAATCTCTTCACTCTCGGCGTTCATACATTTAGTAAGTTTAATAATCATAATTTTTTTCGGTACATTCTTAATAATATATCCCAACCTATTTGATTTTAGATTATAATTATAACGTATACGGATTAGATTGGAAAACAAGAGGCGTTTGGCGTTTAGGTCTACTTCAGAAGGTCAAGTTACCTTCATCAATTGATAATTTGTTAGTTATAGAGAAACTGATCATATCTTTGATGCGTGTTGAGGTTAGAAATCTTTGACTCGGTGGTTGTATTATATTGTTTTGTGAAATTCACACACTCCTTTTTTGATAGGAAACTTTGCATCATATACGGAAAATTCGTCACGAAATATTAATCGATAAAGCAAGATTATATCGAACCCGACGATCATCATCATGTCCAATGAGTTATTCCATTTGTGAACACGGTCGCATAACTCGTACAAGAAGAGCAAAACAGTAATTTTAATCTAACATGTAATAATGCTGTTAGCTTTAAGACATCAATCAATGGATTTTAGAAATTTATATAAAAAGATTTAACGCGCACGTGCTGTAGCGAAATAAATGTGAATATTGTACCATATAACAATTATAACATGCCATCGGAAAAATGAATATATGATGCATGATTGCAAATTTTTGGCAATGGGCCGTCGTCGGAATTTTACTCTGATTTTTATTACGTCATATGCATCTACTTCAGCGAATAAAATGCGGAAATCATTTTCATGACTAGATGCAGGAAAAAAATATGTATGTAATGATCACGAATGAATCGATAAAGCATTTAAAGTTTCGAGTTTATTCAATGAGACCCAATTCTCGAAGATGCCCAGGAATAACTACATAAGGGTCTTCGTAATACCAAACATACCTTAGTGCAATCCGGTTCTTTTCGCATAATTCTTTCTTGAGTTGATCTCGTTCCTGCTGTTTGATAAAGTTATTGGGATCGCCTCTATGAAAGAACT